TGGGTCAATTGACCCAGTCAGTCTTTCTAGGTATATACTGCTGTAAAATACTAATTTCACCAGCAACTTCATTTGTGTTACCATGTTCTGTTCAAGAATGATAAAAAAATAAAAGTCAGATTTTTTCAGATTTTTGTAGCAAGAACTTCAATGAGAAATAGCAGTGATTTTGTTTGATTTTGGTCAATTGACCCAGTCAGTCTTTCTAGTGTTAAGGTTCTTTATTTGTATTACTGAATTAAATAGTTACAAGTTTATTTACTTCATGCCATACATTTTTGCAATGTAGTGCGTTAGTAACTTTTTTCTCTGACCGGAGTGATTTTTTTCAGTCAAGGCAACTACTAGCCAGTTAGCTCACGTTATCTTACGGCAAAATAGACACATTTCTACTTTTACAGCACTTTTCGTGTAGTTATCTTGTGAATAGCATATAGTTTTTAGTTATTTGTGTGGTCTTGCAGAGAACGTTTCTCCTTACGGCAAGGCAACACAAGTTTATTATCATACGCAGGGGTTATTTAGTGTGCAAGATTTATAAAAGTTAAACTAAGACAAAAAAGCAAAATAGAAATTGAAAAAAAACTTAAAATTTGCTTAGAAAATCTGATTAAAAGTGCAGTAAATGTACAGCTAAAAATCAGACACAGTTAATGGTTTTATATTATATAACAACCCCTCCAACCTCAAGGTTCCTCACACGACCTTAAAATATCAGAAGCATATTTAAATTCATGTTTAAAGTGATGTAAAAATATTTATTAAGTTTACTATTAAAACAAATATGTAATGTTTCTTTGTGCTTTTACAGATGCACCCCTCTATAACCCGTGAGGACTTTGTGCCACAGCAGTGCACAACATGTTGCACTTTTTATCACTGCCCACTATGCCCTGCCCTGCAACCTATGAGGTTGGGAAAAATACAGCAACATTTAGATAGGCATTTTAAAAATGCAATAATTTTTGAAGGTAATGTAAGGTAGAGTATTACAATATTACTAGGGTGACTGGATAACTTATGTGCAAGAAGGCACTGAACTCTTGCATGTCAAAGCGCAAGAAAAACTTTGTTTAGCCAGACATGGGAAAAAATATACTTTAAGATAATGTGTAAAGTGTCCCCCATGACAGAGTCTGTTTTCAGTCTACCTTTAAGGCATCGTACAGACGTGAAAAAATTACTGCAAGTGCTTCTATAAAGTTACTGGACACAGGCTGTGATATAGCCCACATAATAGCCACACTAGTCCCATTGTTTTACTACTGGATGCATTGTTTCAATATTGCAAGCAGTTTGAATTTTTATTCTGACTTGTTACCCTTTACTGGTTCTTATTTCTAATAAGAGAATATGTCTTTGCCACCTGCCATGTAGCTCTGAGGGTCACTACCATTGCCTGTTTTGCATGAAAACAATACTTAGAAGAAACAATATGGAGAGTCATCTAAAAATATGCTCAAAATCTGCATCTGAGCCCTCCCACAGCCTACCTGTTCCAGCACAGGACCCCTCCCACAGCCTACCTGTTCCAGCACAGGACCCCTCCCACAGCCTACCTGTTCCAGCACAGGACCTTTCCCACAGCCTACCTGTTGCAGCACAGGACCCCTCCCATGCAAATGTGCTGGGTCCACAATCCTGTTTTAAAATGAGAAAAACAACAAACTGTCCTCATTGCTCATTAGATTTGCTCAAAAAGAACCTGGACACACACATCTTAAGAAAGCATGCAAACAGATCCCAGGATGTAACACTGATGTCTCATCTTTACAGCATTTGCGATGATGTACCTAATGGACTGTCAGCAGTTCAACGAACTGGCCATGGTTTTTCTGTTCCGGTCCACGTACAAAGGAAGATAACGGGCAACATTCATCATGTTAAATGTGAACTGGAGGAATGCTGGCAGTTCCAGCTTTTGGCTCAGAGAAGTGGATTGCCTTTTAGTCAGTGTGAACACCTCCACTCACTTGATTATTGCTGTGACACTGCTTGTGAAGAAATCTTAAATCCCACTGTTCTAGATGAAATGGTGGTCCTTAAATTTTTTGGTAATGAAAAGAAAGCAGTTTGCCTAAAGAGACAAAAAGCAGCACAGGCAGCTTGTGTCCCATTTTCTGTTTTGGTGGAATTTGGTGGCTCTCATAAGCAGATTACGCTATCCATACACGAGCCTATGATACATCATTATAGCCGTCTTGGTAGAGTGATGGTCTCTTATAATTCGTCTGATGGCACTTGGCACTGTCCCTGTGCAAAGGCTCGCACATCCTGTATTCACAAAAACATTGGTAAATGGCACTTATTTCAAATGAAGAGAGACTTGTTTAGGACTGGACCATCTGAACCAGCAGATGCAGAAACGATGCAAAAGGCTATTACTCATGTACCCAACATTGATCTGCAAAGAAGCGTGCAATATCTCTTTGATGAAAAGAAACTACCAGCTTTCCTCCCAGATAAAGTAAACCAACCCAAGTCATTACTTGAGTATTCTACACAGTTATATTCTATGAAAACAACATGTACATTTTGTTTTGAACAAACTGTACTTGAAAAGCCTCAGTTGGTCACAAAATGGCCAAAATTGTAACAATGGCAGGTGTTGTGCATGGTAAGTTAAATATTCACTTAAATGTGTGGCCTTGCATATTTCTCCCAACACACAGATAACACTGGAAAGACACTTTTTGTTTTTTTTTTTGTTTTTCAGATGTTTCGGTCTACACAAGAAGATGCCCAGTATGTCATGTGCTTTACAGGTATCAGGAATGGCAGGATGGAGTCCACAATTTTGATAATCACTTGTTTCTGAGTCTTGAACATTGTCTATACCTTAGACAAGGCTTGCAGGTTTGTATGAATGTGCATAACACAGAGCTTGATTGCATAATGATCTATATTTTTCTGTTCACCCTGCTCCTTTTTTCCTTATGAATCATATTTCAACTTCTAGGGCCATGAACACTTTGGAAGGCCTCAGGGGAGTCAAATACCCAAACAGAGACAGCCTTCTCCATGGTTACTTGAATTTTGAAGCATTAACAGATAATGACTACAGTTATTCATGTGTAAACTGTGGTTACCATCCCCCAGTTGTTATCATGGACCTTCACAAAAAAGGTGTTTTCAGCTTAGCAGTTAAACAACATTTGAATTATGTCTCTTCATTAATACTACATTTTGTACCAGGGAAAAAAAACTTCCCTTATTTCCCTTTACAACAAAGTGAGTGACCTCAAAGAACCACCTGGCGAATTCAAAGGTGAAGTGGACATTGAACAGTTCTGGCGATCTGTTCACCTTGAGATGATTTAACGTGGATTCTTTCCAAGTAATTACCTGTTTAAATTTAACTTGTTCCTGAAATGTTTTGTTATATCATCTAATTTGTTATTTTAGTTTTAAAATGACATTGAACTAAATTGTATTGCCCTCAGGTCGTTCACAGAACCCATTTGCAGTGGAACCCACCTATGAGAACTGGGCTCCATGGCTTGGTAAACATACAAGGAAAGGCCAAATAGTACTCAATACTGAATATGAGAAAGTAACAGCTTCAAAGATTGCCCCAGAAGAAGCACAGGTCATTAATTTATCTGAAGATCATCTTGTAGACGAGTTAATGAAGCAGAAGGTAGAAAGAAAATTATTTCTTCACTAAATCAATTGTAGGAATTATTAGCTCAGGTAATTTTTAATAT